GGAGTAGAAAGAAGTTGGTGAAGATGACTTTAAAACAGATTTCATTACCACTCGGTGATCTATGCCTGACTGGAGAAACCAGTGAGGTCTAAAAAGTCTCCCAGTGTTAATGAACCCTCTGACACTAAGCACGCCCCAAGATCGGACCACGAGGAAGCGCAGGAAGCTCACATTCTTATTAGGGAGGGCTTTCTGCTTCACACCAATGGGCTTCAGCGAGAAGTGTTGCAATCATAGTTGGCCTTAAACTTAACCCTGAATTACTTGAACACGGCCCAATGAAAATATCAATATGTTCTCTAAAAGAACATATACCCTGAAATATTTTACATTCCTACTTTATCATACTGTACATATATTTTTTCACAATATAATTGGAACAGAATACAGACCCTTTACTAAAACTTAGCAAAGCTCAAAAGTAAAGTTTGGTCACCTTTTATACCATCAGCATCATCCATTAATAAATCAGCCTATTAACGCTGCCATATGATGAGAGATGGGTGACATATTGGACAGATCACAGGGCTAACACACCCAACCAAACCCCACTAACTGCATGTCTTTTACACTGTAGGAGGAAACTGGAGTGCTCACGCATAGAACATGCAAACTCCACACAGACCACACACCCCAGCCAAATGATGGATTCAAACTTATTTGAACCCTGCTGTGAGGCAGATTGAACCACTGTTCCACTGTGCAGCCCCCAACAACAGACTGCAATCCAAAAGGCTGACTAGATATTTGACTGGGTGAGATTTTAACTTTTTAACCCCCCAAAAATGTTCAGGAGGAGTGAGTCACATAGAAAGACTACATCGTTCTACACAATCTAAACCATATTAGAAGAACACCGAAACATAGATATATTCTCAAATACAAGGCACAGGGAACAGCACTCCCCAATGTCAACTTAGTCTTTATAATGTATTTAAAGTATCACATTTAACATTTTAACATGTATCAGGGCAGCAATGAACCCCAAAGGCAGGATATTAGGGCTATATTTTAGACACATGCTAAACAAGCCTGGAGTCCTTCCAACCTTCCAAATCAAACTCTTTATAGTTCTGTTATAACATTCCCATTTTCCTAAAGTCTAAGGCTATCATTAGGTTGATCCAACCGTAACCCTAAACAGGTCACAACCTACTCTGCATCTTGACCTTGACATAACAAAGTGTGAAAACCCTGAGCTCATTTTCATTAAGGTTCACACAGCTGCCCTTCATCAATACTTGTGCTGCTCTCAGTCAGCTGAAACCCCAGATTAAAAGAAGACAACTAATTTCAGCTTCTATATTCCAACACAAACTATTTTTACAGTTAACTAGTATAATTGTCTATAAGTGATTGCATGTTATTTTCACATATTTCAAATACAAGTGCATTGTGCTACACAACCAGTTTAGCAACCACGGCGTGTTGAAGTGATTGCACTATTAACCACTTTAACACAATGTAAAGCCGTAACCTTCATCTCTTTTAACAATGACACACAGCGGGTGGCGAGTATATGCACAGGAAAAAAAGCAATAAAATCATATATATTAAATTCAGATATCAAATCCATCTCAGCTTGAATGGGCATGATGTGTCAGATTTTACTGACTACTGTACAGGCATTGCAATTCAAAGGGTATTGAAAATTTCCCCATGGGACATGCTTGTGTTTCTGCGCTCGGAGCTCCTCATCTCTTCATCTCCTCTGTGGTGCATTTAAGCGATTGGAACATCCAGCGATTTCCAGGTCACAATCAGAGGATGTAGGAAGGAGGACTGGAGGAGGAATAAATTAGCCAAATGGAAGGCGCGCCTGCATGTTAATTTTACTTGACATGGAGTTAAATCATTGGCTGTCTGGAGGGACTGAAATCTGGATAAGAACTGACAGTGTTTGGCAAGTTGGGGAAAATGGTCAGCCGACATCTCCAGACCGAAAACCTTCACTTCACTTCGTCTCGAATGCATTTTGCATTCAATTTCTTTGAATCTGTGAATTAAGCTCTCTTTTCAGGAGTGTTTATCCCTCCCCTTGCTACCAGCCGCATCTATTTTTATTCACATTTCTGTTTTCTGGCCTTTCAACATCTTGACATTTTTTTCTTTTCATAATGCATTAACTCTGAGGATACCTTAGGAGACCTGCCTGGCACCCGACAGCACCTCTTAATTCACAGTGTGCCCTGACACAAACACAAAAGGGGCTGCAGGGTTTTTAATTGGCCTCTGCCCAAATTAGACAGATTTATCCTTCTCTCACATTAGCCGAGATGACCAGCCTGAAAAATCACGTTGCTCAGGCGTTTCTCTGAGGCTTTCTCTCACCACGCACTTGTCTCCGAAATTGGGCTGAAACAGCAACTTTGACGGTTAATTAGCCTCGTTAAAGAAACCTCCGAGGCCAAATCTGGAAATAAACATTCTTTGTTAGAGAGCGTCGGGATGCTTTCAGCACAGAGCAGACCACTGGATGCAAACAAGGAGCTTTGTTTGGAACATTATCAAAAGATCAAAACGTCTACATCAACAGGCTGCACCGCACCAATCTCTGTTTCATGATGTAGACTTTGTACGGAGCTGGATTCAACAGTAATTAGATCATGACTGACCATTCTCAATAACAATAACATGACTGCAAATAAGTTACTGCAAACAAGTTTAGTCCAACCATCATCCAGTTTTATCTCAAACAAGTCAGCTCTCAGGAATCTCTCATTCTACTATTAGAGTTGAGACGAAAAGATGTTACCGCTGACATCAACTCCCTTACATGCATTGTGGCTACAAGTCTTCTGTTACAAGGTTTCTATTTGGGGATGCAAAAAATGATATTAATAACAATATATAAATAAATAAATAAAATAAACTTCTGGATTAATGGGGTAAGTTAGATCTCCTCAAAATATACCACCTGTTCATAAACAGCTCCACTGGCTTCCAGTTCAGCTCCGTGTCCATTTAAGATTCTGCTTCTCACTTTCAAAGCGCTTCATAACCTCACTCCCCCATATTTATCTGATCTTCTCCATACATACTCACTCCCTTGTACACTCCACTCTTCCTCACCTCCTCTTCTTTCTATTCCACCTGCTCGGCTGACTTCTACGGGACTCAGAGCTGCCCTGAGACTTTGGAATGCACTTCCACCTCGGGAACTCGGCTCCACACTACAAACTCTCTCTCCACTTTTAAATCACACCTTAAAACCTATTTGTTCAAAATTGCACACCCTTCATCATGATTCCATTTCAGTCTATTTTTACCTTGTTTGGCTTTTATATTTTTATACTTGTTTTTATTTTTCATTGACCTGTTTTTGTACTAATGTAAGGTGACCTTGAGGGTCTTTAAAGGTGCCTATAAATAAAATGTATTTATGTATTATATTTATTTATGTATTTATAATAAAATTAAATGTATTCACATTATTATTATTATTATTATTATTATTATTATTATTATTATTATTATTAATAGTAATAATAATAATGATAATAACCTAATCTGGTATGGTTAGGGGTGGGGTCACTGGTATCCAATTCAATTCTGCCAAGCTGCCTACTATCTTAAATTTCATATAAGAACAGCAAATAGAAATTCAGAATTACTCATTAAATTGGGGCATTCATGCTCCCAACGGGAGTAACTATTGTCATTTTAAAGGTTCAAAAGGCTTTGCTGCACTACCTTCTCAAGAAAATTGTAAATCTCCAAGAGTTTAATTCATGCCTGAAAGAAAAAGTACCCAATTTAAAACTGGCCAGGAATAGTGTTGCTGACATTTCATGGACCCGGAGACTTCAGCTGTAGTAATGAGATGCAATACCAGTACTCATCTCTATTTTTTGTAACTTAGTAGACAAAAACAGCCGTAACCAACAGCAACCAATGCACAGCCAATATAGCTAATAATCTACCAGCATTGCCCATTTCATAAAGTTGAGTTTATTTAACTATTATTTGACTATAGTATGTCTAGTGTTTAAGAATTGTTGAGTCTGGACTACGATGTAGAGGGCTTCACAGCCAAGACCTGATCCAGTAACAAAGATGTAAATTTGTTCCATTAAGCTTAATTGTGTCAATCAGGGTCTTATTGTTACTGGTGTGGGTCTCAGGTTTGGGGTTCAGTCACACCTGAATGGATTCAAACTAATTTATGATTCAATGTCTGTGTTTTGAGGTAAGAGGTACGTTGAAGTAATGTCCATCATATCATTTAATGCCATGAAAAGGTTGCCACAGTTGAAGGTGTCACATTTCAACTTCTTTCAGAGCACTGAAAATCTAGAGTTGTGTAAGAAGCATTAAATGTCTCAAATGCAGTGCAGTGCAGAGAAAGGTTTAATTTTATAATCTGCTGTACATTAGAAAAGGTTCTGAATAGGATAGCTATAGAGGTATTTTCACTCATGAAGTCAAAAATCAGGAGAAGCAGGTTGGTACCTGATTTAAAGTTGGGGTTTTTTTCACAAAACACTGGAAATACTCAGGCTGGCTAAGGCGAGGATACTGCTGGGGTAGAGCGTACAGGTAAACACTCTCGCTTTTGCTTCTTTGTAAATTCAGCAGACGGTTTGCTATTCTAACACAGGCTCAGTTTAACCTAGTGTTTGGGATCTGGCAGGCTAAAAATCCAAAGTTGGACTTTTTTATTCTCACATTCAACTCTGTCAAGTGAGCTGAGGAAAAGCTCTGGGCTGTAATCATCAGTAAAAGCAGCTTATATTTGGTGTTTGGGTTCTTTGATAAGTCTAATTGATTGCATTTTGGAACAGGTCTGATTATTTCGGGTGGGTCTGTGCCTAAGTAGATTTTGAACCAAAAACCTAAAAGAACCTAAGAACCTAAAATTTTGGACAACCCCAAGCATGTTGGTCATTCAGTTTGTAAAAAGTGACATTACCTAGGAGTCCTTGGGCTCTAGACTGCTACATGCTTGAATTTAAATTATCACTATCCTCACTGTGAGCAAAAACAAAGCGCCAACATACCTCTAAGCGATCAGCGTGCAGCACAATAAAACGGGTGGCATTAATGCACTCCAGCTCAATGCTGACTTCGCCAGAGAAGGTGAAGTTATCCATGTAGACGGCAAGCCGCAGGTCGTAGTGCCGAGGCCTCACCGAGCCTGGTAATCGTGAGTTTCTCCACGGCTGGACCACCTCTTCGTCCCCTTTCTCCCCCGTCCTTTCCCCTCTGCCTCCATTCAACTTTGCAGACCCACCGGGGCCTCGGGAACTCGGCTCTCCAGTTGATTCATCGCGATCTCGTGCACCACAGTCCTCAAATTTGACGTTGAGCGCAACGGCTACTGCTGTTACGATAATGAGGGTGAGTATGGAGAGGGCAAAGCCCAGCACCAGGCGCTTGTGCACCGTTATGTGGCGCTCAGTGGTTCGAGGCCGGACCACCACTGATTCTGCCCACTGATCCGAGAGGCCACGGCCGTTCCGCATGGCTCCCGGGCTGCTGTCGTTTAGTCCCATTTAGCTTAAAATGTCACTAGAACAGCAAAGAAATAATGTCAAAGTTCAGCAGCAGAAACAGATTCTGATTCAAAAAAATATTCATTTATGCACAGGTCAGATTTCAGCTTGTTTACAGTAAACTTGATGTGATTGAATGTGTTTTGATCGTCCAAAAGATTCCAGTCTTGATTCAGCCTGTCAGCCTATCAGTCTGTGCTGATGAAACTCCAGCAGTTATATATCTGAAAAACTGAACTCTGACCTTGCTGCTGATGGACTGTTATGAACGTCCTTGAGTTCTGCCTAGATGTGAAAAATCAGCACTGCTGCACGTCTTACATTTCAGGCAACCAAACTGAAAAAACAGAAAAAATGAGATGGTCATGTGCGTTTTGGTTTTGCGGTGAACAGAAACAAAAAAATCAATGCTGCATGGCTCGATTTCAAGAGCAGTGAAGCCTGAGAAGGAGAAGGAGGAGAGGGACAGAGCGGAGGAGGTATGCCGTTGAGGATGTGGCTATACAGTGAGCATATCATCCATAGACTGGAAATCAGCTGGGTAAGCTAAACACTTAACCACCACAAGGTATAAAACTGGGAATAAAGCCTTATGCTGTAAAAGCAACCTTATCTGGATTTCCTCTCAGATTGTAAATTCAAGTCAGTTATGGATGATGGAAATCATCAGTTTGAACTTTAAAAACGGTCACGTTACCAAGTCAAAGACCCTCAACCAAAGTCTGAACGAACACAAGGGGGTTAAAGCGGCAGGTAGTTTTCCCAAGGTACGAGTAAAGTTAATTTGCTCTGAGTTAAAGCTCTTACACATCCGCAATAAACCATAAATAAATCCCTTTCGGACTATTATGGGATTGTCATAATGTTACAGTCGAAGATTATAATAACTTACAAGACATTAAGATGTGTTACAAGTCTCTTGGAGATTAGTATGATTGCATTTAAGGTTTGGAATCAAATGAAGACTTAATCAAATCAAAGTCACACCAGAATATGTTCAGATCTTATTTTGAGTAAAATAAAGTTTTGAATTCGGATCTTTGTCAAGAAATCCAGTTTTTTGTCTTTGTTTTTTTTTTATTACAAGCTCGAGATTAATTTGTAATTACTCAGTTTTCTTAGGGCTTTGTCCCAAAGCAGAATACTTCAGTAATCTTGTTTTTAAAGTACAGTTTTGTAGTGACTTCTCTGTCACACAAACTTAAAGTTGCTGTTAAAAATTGAGGAAGCGCCTCCGTTTGACCCCTTTTCTCTGATGGATTTCAAATTAAAATTAGCTTTGCTGCTGATAAAGGTGTAGTTTAAAAACGGTAATAACTCTCTCGCTGCGGTCTGTGTCTATAGCACTCGGTTTCTCTCTCTCTCCTTTCCCTCTCCTGAGGGGGGTTAAGTGGATAATTTACGGCCAGCATGTGGGTTTATTTCACCGTGGAGGAGATAATTCACTCGGCTACTCCACGAGGTCTAAACGATCCCAGCTTTCCAGCTCATGAGCCTGACGGATGGAAGCTGGATTAAAACTGATTGATAACCCAGGATTGTATTGATTACATGGATGCCGCTCGGTGGGGACAGAAATCCACAGAAAGAGCTGAAAACCCCCTTTTTAAAATCCACCATCAATTAATCAGTTCCTTCAGTGAAATCACTCAGATATTGATCATGAAGGTTGTCCAAACATTACAGGTTCATCGGTAAATATTATAAGAAGAAAAACTCCTCTGGTTCTCCGGTAACTTCTCTTCTCTCGCCCCCGCTAGGAAGCGATGATCTCCGTGTCCGTTTTAAACAGCAGTCGGTCCCCGAGGTGGAAGGGTACCTCTCCGGGGGTGATCCGCTATTAGTCAGACTCACTTCAGTCCAAAGGACCGCGCTTTCTCTGCTGCACGTCCCGTTTTCCTCGGTAACCCAGATGTGAACACCTGCTTTATACCTGCGGGCTGTTTCTGCTCCCGGGGAGGGGGCTGAGGTTACCGTCGGTCAATAAACTAACCCTCAAGTCCACCCGGGACGGTCCCGGGATTCGTTACAGCACCGTTAGAAATCCATTAAGTGCGTGTGGTGTGGAAGAAATCCATCAGGGACATGACGGGAGTTCACAGATAAATGCCAGGAAGCTGTTATTGATCCGCTGGCACATGTGGGGATCCCGTTAAACCGCCAGAGACCAGATCCAGCTCACACCGATGGGATTAAACACCGGACCCGTTAATAATAACAGTAATAACAATAACGGGCCGATCGTTTAAAGAAGAAGAAAAAATGGACTAAAAAAAACAAACACGCCGGAGGTCAGAGTCAGCACCGGGGACGGTGCACGGAACGATCCTGGAAAGCACCGTTAACAAATCCCACTCAGCACCAGGTCCTGCACACTCCAAAGTAGGATCAGACCGTGCCGGGTGGATTATCCCGCGTTAACGCCGGGCACGAGCCCCTCCGGTGCTCCTTTAATAAACCCTATCTTCCTCAACTTTTTCAGCCCACGGAGAGCCGCTGCTTCTCTCTCTCTCTCTCGCAGATGAGGATGACGGTTGATGATGATGGTGGTGGCGGCGGTGATGAAGCCTTCCTGTTTAGCATCCCTTCGTGCACTGAAGAAAGTGACGCTTGGTGATGGAGGTGAGGAAGAGTCTCGTGCCGCCCGTTCAGCAGTGAGTATGTTTGCGGTGTGCGTTTCCACTTGAGCACGAGCTGCTGCTCCAACCGAGAGGCACGCGCTGACCGAGGGAGAGAGAGAGAGAGAGAGAGAGAGAGAGAGACCGAGAGGGAGGGAGGTGGGTGGGGGTCTCAGCGTGTGAAAGCTACACCTCCCCAGCGCTGTTCAAATCTATTCCGCTGTTTTCTCCTCTGCTAGCTCTGGATGACGAGAAACCAGACAGAAGAGAAATGAAGATGAAACAAAGTAAAGGTTCTCTGTGTGCCTCTCTTTGGTTTTACACGCATGCAGATTTATCTGGCTGTGAAGTAACTGAGCAATGGGCACCGGGGCCTTTCCTGTGCAGATTTCTCCCTAAATGAATGTGTCTGCTGAGATTGGTTTTTCATTAGTCACTTTACGTCCACTTGCTCTTATCTGCACTTCTGCATTTCAGTTATTCCACTTTTAATGCCTGAAACTACATGTACACATAAGCTCTTTATAGCACAGTGGGAAAGAATTTCCAGACTCATTCTTCAGAGAAGACAAAGCGCACATACACAGACACAGACACACACATATACACATGTTCAAAAATCACACTTTTTCCATCTCTGAGGGATTCAATGTGAAGCTGTAGACTCTGCAGCTGAACAGCTGGGCCAGATGTGGTACCGAAGAATCCCAGCACACAGGGCTGAAGTAACATTGTTGCTCCAATAAAGCTACATGTTCTTGGTTGTGTGTTGTGTGCAGTGCAGGTCCAGGCCAAAATTCAGATCATATTATAAAGAAAGCAAACACACGTCTTTGTTTTTTATTGGAATACCTGATGGTCGTGCTCAGTCAGCTGTGCAAATGTCTACTCCACGCACATAGACTAGTATCCCCAGATGCCCTTTTTAAAAATATAAATATCAACAAGAAATTTATGACATTTTCAGGCATCTACATGCACAGTTAGTTTAATTTGTTGGTTTGGTGTATTTATTTAGATTAGGTGTCCCTCTGACCCTTTGCTCACTGTTGATCAGGCTTCAGAGTGAGAGGTCTACATGGTAGTGTGAGACGCCCTCATTTTAAGGGTTTCTTCTTCTTCTCACAAGCAGGAAGTGTTATTGTTTTGTGTGTTCAATTGACAGAAGAATAAAAACTTGGCACCAAAAGGAAGGAAATTTGTTTTTGGTTGATTATTTTTTCTAAGCAATATATCTTATTGCATAGCCTGTTTACTTCCCCTTAAATGGTGCAACATTTCTAAGGAGAAATTTGTGAGTTGAAAAACTTGCCGAATCTTCTCTGTCAATTTTCAAAGAGCTTATTCTGTGACCAACAGAAAAGCTGATTGAAGAATGGACTGCCGTCCCACAGCAATGTGTGACCAACCTGGTGACCAGCATGAGGAGGAGACCTCAATCATCCAGTCAATTAAATGACACCAAACAAGAGACAGTAGCAGAATAAAAAAAATAGTTGACCAAACAGAAATTTTCTCACTTTTCGTGCTGATTTTTCAGAACAACTCTTTTTTAAAATTGCATAGTGGTGAGAGACGGGTGGAGGGCATGCAGCAAAGGGCCATAGGTCATACTCGAACATGGCCACTGTGGCCATGCAGTATTTGGTCACCTGTTCACCCACTGAGCTAAACTGGCACTTGTGGAACAAATCTGTTGTGGAGCTAATGATGTGGCTAATTTAATCACAACGTGTTCTTTGGCATGTGTGCTTTCATGCACTGAGTTATGATATAAAAGAGCGAACAAGTGGTCAGCCCCATTGGCCAACCAGCAAGGTAACCGTTGTTAAGGGTTGGTGTTAAGGGGTTTCCCATCGTAAAAATCCATCTACTTGCTCACCTGGAAATTGAGAAAAGCTCACATTGGCAGTGATTATGTTGCCTGTATTTGCTTGAAGTTGCAAAATTTTAATCCCCCTTTGTGGTCGCTGGTTGCCATGTTGTTGTGAATAGCTTCTGGTGTGTATACACCTCAGTCCTATTATTAGCAGCATTATTCAGCCTGATTGACATGAGAATATGTAAAATGTCCAAGAAGACATCAAGACCATGTAAAATAAAGATCAACAAAATTAGCATTACAGCAAACACTCGATGTTGTATAACCATCGACAGACTGTCTTTTCCCAACAACCAGTCTTGGTTGAAGAATCATTGTGCCAATAGTGTCAGCATTACCTTGAACCTTTGATAGAATAAATCTTCCTACCTCTTTCTAGAGGTAACTGTGGCTGCTCATCATTACACCTACATTCTTCCTGTTGTGCCACTTCTGGAGACTCACCTAGAGTGTTTTACCTCAGAGCAGTAGAGAATTCTGGAAACTGGCTTGAGAGTTGATCTAGTCAAAGAATTGGACTTTAGGGGTATTGAAGAAACTGGCCTGACAACTCAGCCTGTGAGACGATTTGTGAATGTGCCTGTGGGACAGTACCAACCTGAGCCTATTTCTTAAAAGACTGAAGACTGGCCTGTGAGAAAAGAGAAATGTGAGTTATTAACCAGTGCAGTACTCTTATCTACTGTCCTTGTAAATGTTTTCATTATTTGCCTGTTAACCATTTCCTGTGTATCTGCCTTTTGAGTCTTTTTGGAAAGCAAATCATAGCAAACTATCAGAGAGAGATAAAAACATGAGGAGTGACTGCAGAAGTCTATTCTTCGGTAAGAACACCTAGCCACATTAAGAAAAGTCTTGACAAAGTAGGCCTTTCAGAGTCTACAACATATAAACAGTAGAGGTGTGTTTTGATTATCGATTTATTGATTAAAATCGATTCTAGCTTGGATAACGTGATATCGATTCATTAAAATCCTGAATTTATTATTTTAATATAAATTTATTTTGCCCAACATGCCAGAATCTCAGGTTAAACCTCACAAATTTTCAACAATCACCAAACAGCTAAAACAGTAAATGAGAGCAGGTACACGGATTCTGCACAAAGACGTAAACACAAAGCACGGACCCGCCGACGGATCAGAATCAGCGAGATGTCGCCTTTCTCACCCGACGGCACGGACACGGTCGGGGCTGAAGGCCGACAGCTCGCTGATTCTGGTGTCTTTGTGTTTACCTCCTTTTTGCGTTAGATTCTGAAGCTGCAGGTTTTTATCTCTCTCCAAACAATATTGACTGAACCAGCAGCAAAAGAAGATCCAAACTATGCTTCACATAAACATCGTCATGAATTCCCTCTGACTTTTGCTGTTTTGCTTCCACACCGATAAAATCAAACTTCATGCACAGCTCTCTCTCTCTCTCTCTCTCTCTCTCTCTGTCTCTTAGTATACTTCATGAACAGTTTCCCGTCTAAAAATCTGTTTTCTGCATCATTCGCTTGCTTGTTACGGACAAGTCTACCGTTGTTTACAGTGCTGTCGGACGCTGTTTTTTTCCTTTTACTTACTTCCGAAAAGAAAGTCTAATTTCTGCTGTTCAATACTGAACAAATTTAAACTTTAAATTATGAAAAATTGCAAAACGCTTAGATCCGTCTCTAATCAAACCTCTGTAATTTTGCTCTGCTTCACGTCAGCAGCATCAGATAATGTTCATATGTTGATTAATGGTTTTCCTTTGTTTTTGATCTACTGCAGAATATTTGTATAAAATCCCAGCCTGGGATGGGTACCGGTTCTGACATAAACGGTAGTAACCAGACCGAAAAGCAGTGCACATTTCGGTGCTTTATTTCGGTGCTTTTTTCCCCTGAGATGTCATACACTTTAAATTCTAGCCAATCATTTTACCTTTCCAAGGATAGTAGGCGGGTCCAGGTACGTACGTTCTTTTAGAGCAGAGCTACAGATTAAAAATGCCCAAGGCAAAGCGGTCAAAAGTCTGGCTGTACTTCACAGCAAAAGCTGCAAACTCAGCAGCCTGCAACAAGTGCTTTAAGGTGATACTGTGCAAAGGAGGCAACACCTCGAATCTGATGAAACACCTGGCGACGCATAGCGTTTTTTTAAAAGAAAGAAAGAAAGAAAGAAATGCACCGTATTTGACAGCTTGCTGCGAGACCTCACACCGAGCACATCTACTGCGGGTGTGGTGCCTGTTATCGGACCCGGAGTTCGCAACATCCCCCAAGAACCCGAAGATTAGAGCCCTGGCCCCTAGCCCTGTCAGTGTAGCAGAAATGATGACGGATGATGATGACAGCAACAGCCGTTCTTCTCTGGGTGAGTCGCTTAAGGTGAACTAGCAAACACCATCGTAGTTACATGCGGCTGTCTTCTTGTTTGATGGCAGATACTCCCTTCACCCTGGCCAAAAAGACTAAAATAACCAAAGAAAAAGAGGGAAACAGCTAAACATGAGAGGTTTTTGGATAACGTTTGTGTTTTTTTCCATTGTTTAAGCACTGCTTCCAGCCAAGAGTGATGCCATAAATCCCCTATAGCTGCAGAAAAGGCTAACATTGTTATCTTTTTACAAAAAAACAGCTAAACATGAGAGGTTTTTGGACAAAGTGTGTGTTCTCCATTCTTTAAGCACCGGTTCGAGCACCGTTTAAGCACCGGCACTGTTTCAAAAGTACCGGTTTGGTACTGGTATCGGATAAAACCTAAACGATACCCATCCCTAATCCCAGGCCAGAAAAATCACCTTCATGTTTTTCTGTGTTTTATCCTCAGTTACTTTGACACAAAGGCATCTGCTGTGATATTTACACATTTGATAAAGTCTCACAAGTGTCAGTTTTCTTTTTATAGATATAAAAATATGGAAATGTACTGATGCATGATCTGAATTATAATATTTCTGACTGTCTGAGGCCAAATTTCTCCAATTCGATTCGTCTTGAATCGAATCATGGATTGAATCGATTCGGAACCTTGTGAATCGGAGTCGAATCGATTCTAGAAATCAGTGGCGATACCCAGCCCTAATAAACAGCTTTATGAATGGAAATACAGATGGGTTTACAACAAGGTGCAAATCACAGCTTACACTCAAGAAGAAGGATAGATTAAACAGAAAACAGCTAAAAGAGGTGGCAAAGCCCTGGGGAAGAAAATGAAACCAAGATGAACTTGTACCAGAATC